GTCACAGTGTCCTCTGCCTTTGGCGCCGACCCCACTTTTGGGGATGCCAAGTCCCCCGTCCTGCTCAAGTCACCTTCTCTCTGTTGTCCCGTGCACCCCAGCCAACCCACCACGCCACTTTGGACACCAGCTTTTCAAGTATCAAAAAACACTTTGAGTCGATGTCAGAGCCCAGGGCTGTTGGATGCCTCCCCCAGCACAGCCCCACAGCTGGATGAAGGAGCCACTGCCAGGACTGAGACTTCCCCAGGGTCAGTCTCTGGTCTCCTCGCCACCAGCACAGGAGAGTGATTGCTGTGCCATGCACTGGAGCACGGGGAGAGAGAAGAGATGGCAAAAAAATCAACTCCTGCTGTCAGGAGGTGACCTGAGACCTCAGGGCACAAGCAGGAGCAAGGAGGCTGCATTGGCATGCACCACACAGGGCCATCAGAGACGAGAGACGCTGCAACATCCCCGAGCTGTCAGCTCATGGTGCTCATTGCCTCGGGAAGACGGATGGCTCCTTCCGATCATTTACATCAACCCAGAGAAAATGGTTGCCTGCAGAATGTCAAGCAGAGCATGAGGCATGTGAAAATCTCAGAAACTCACATTTCAAAGCCCAGAGTTAACCCCAGCACACACAGAATCCATTCAGACCGAATGGACAGCCCGACGTGGTTTCCTGGCCCTGGGGCTGACATCCTCCTCCCACCAAGAGCCCTGGGGCTGCTGTAGGGTTCTGCTGCAGTCCACAAGGGCTCCCAGGCAGCCAAGGACACACTCAGGGCCAGCAGGCTTCTTGTGCCCCAGTCCTCAAGCAGATGACAGCCTAAGGAGGCAACTGCAGGGGAAACCACAACCAGGCATGAAGCACTGAGGGCAGCAGACTTGGCAGGGCCGATTCCTCCACGGTCACCAATCCTTTCCCCTGGTTGTGCTCAGCCCACCGCCAGCTCCTTTGGCTCAGCATCAAGGGGGAAACATCCCCCAGTTTGCTGTGAGCACCAGGCATCCATGTCAAAGCCAGGGAGTGTGCCAGACCACAGCCATTCCCAGCAGCACCCCTCACACCCTCCCAGGAGAGCAACGGCCCTGGAAATCCAGGTGGACTTTGGACTTTTGGGAAAGGAGTCCTGCTCTGCAAGAAGCAAGTCTCAGCTTTCACACCCAGTGCCTGACTCCTCTCCTCTGCAGGTACAGCATTTCCTAAGAAAGATCATATCAGGGATTAACAAAGAAGAGGAAACTGAAGCTCTAATTACTGCTTTGTTTCTCCCATTTTGTTTCTTGGGAGCCTGAGCTCCCTGCTGAACCTTCCCTGCTTCATTCTCTACCCTGCAGGTCCTTTTCTCTCCTTGCAGAATCCTTCTCCCCTGTCCATGCTCCTCCTGAGACCCTGGTGCACATCACTGCTATTTCCCAGTGGCACCCAACACCAGAACAGCAACCACAACAACTGCAAGCTCTTTCCAAATCCAGCACCGTGCAGGACAGCATCCGGCTGTCCTGCCTCCCTGACCAGGCAGGATTAGGTGTAGGCAGGAATAACAACTGTGCAGCAGCCCCTAGATGAGCAGAGGTACCATGCAGAGAGCAAGGCAGCTGGGAGCTTCTCCGTGGGAGGGAGCAGACCCTAGGCTTCAAAGCTGGCTAAAAACAGAGGGAGGCTGTACTTAACTCTGGAGAGGGACAACAAAGCCTTTCATCACATGGGTGCTGCTAACCACGAGCAAAGTTCTCAAGACGAGGGCAGGAGTGTGGGAGTTTGCCTGCAAATGGCAAAGACCATTTGTGCTGGGCTCTAAACAGCCCACCACCTCAACCTGACCCAACAGCACTGTGGCACCCAAAAACCCAGCAAGGAGCGCTCTGGGGGAATCACAGGGGTGACTGTCTCGCCAGCTCTGCCACCAGCATTCCTGTCTCACCACTTGCTGCCTTTATTTGGAGCTCCCCATCCACTCACTGCAGAGTGGCCCCATGCTGGGAGCTGCACAGTGGACCAGCCCTGCAGGATGCTGGTGGGAGGGACAGGAGGCCGGTGAGCTCAAGGGTTTGTTTGGAAACCATGGCACAAAACCGGGAAGCTGGCTGTGGGGAGGCTGGAGGCACGGCTGGGCTCCCGGCCTGCCTGCTAACAGGTTGTTTGTTACCCAGCAGAAGGGGCACAAGCTGGCCCTCAAACCAGCTCGTGAGTTCACAGAAAAATTGTACCAGTCTGCAACAGGTAACAGAGCCAGCAGGAGAGTTGGGAAGACAGTTTTAATATCATTTAATATCATTTCAGCATAAAGCCTGCACATTTACCATTCTTTTAAACAGGTCTAAGCTAAGCCTAACTGCTGTACCTTAAGCCACGTCACTTCTCACCAGGACCACGTTCTCCAAACCAACATTGTACCATCAGTTCAGAGCCTGGGGGCTTCTCCCTTTGCAAAGGGGGTGTTGGGATGGAACAGGGGCAGAGACCCACTCAGCTCTGCCCTCTGAAAGCCCAGTCAGCACAGAGCACTTCCCATTCCAAGTCCTGGCAGCGACACCCACCCAACCAGCCAGTACAGCCGAGCTGCCTTCGTGTGCTCAGGCCACACGCGGCCGCAGCGCCGGCACCGCCCGCGTGGTCACCGCAAGGTGAAGTGCTGCCCTGGCACACCACAGCTGCCAGGACAAATGAGAGCCCATCAGCAAATTAATTTTTAACCTTGCATTTGTCTGTTGCAACGACTAAAGGAGAAGAGCTCTTGGCAGCCAGAGCGTCACTTGTGTCTCTTCAGAAAGGAGCCAGCCCCAGCCTGCTGAGCTCTGGGCAGCCGAGGTTGCTGTGCCTCCCTGGCAGAGGATCCCAATTACGCAGAGGGTCTGGGAGCAGCGAGGCACCCAGGGTGGGATGACGGATGCTTATTTAACCCCACCAGTACAGGCTGATGAGGCACAGCAGGAATGGTCCATCTTCCAGCTCTCCAGAAAGTTGAGCTCTGAAGCACACACCCCTGTTGTGCAGACAGATGTCAGAGGAGAAACCCTGAGAGCATCAGCAAACCCTTTAAAGTCAGCAGACACAGCCACAAATATCACTGCATCCTCCAGCGAGGGGCTGGAGGGCTGAGCAGACCAGGGTGCAGGGAGTTAACAGCAGCTTTCTCCCGTTTCTGTGGTTCTGTAATACAATTAGATGCCACAGAGGCTTGGCTGGACTTCTGCCCATTAACCAATTACTCTGATTACAGCCTGTGAGGAGAAGACCAGCATCTCAATAGGGTCCTTCTTCCACCTCTACAGCCTCACATGGACCCAGAAGGGCCCCCCCAAGCAGGGGCACGTGCAACTTCATGCTACGTTGCCCAATCTGGCAAAGTCCACAATAACCACGTCCTTTCCTCTACACCAGAACAGCTTCCAGGCATGCCCACGGCAACTTTTATGGCAGGGGAGAGAAGGGTAAGTTTCCTGCAACCTCTCTCAGAGGAGGCTGATACCAATAATCCATCTACAGCTGATGATCCTGATTAGAGACCGACACAAGGGCAACAAAAGTCTCCTGGTACACTGGTACCTGATGCACTGCACATGGGCAGCAAGATAGGAAAGACTGGGAAGGGCGGATGAGAAGAAATCAGCCTGTTCTTTCCCATCCTAAACTTGGATTAAATCCCATTTAAAAAAATGTTAAGTGAAGAGGCCTGAAAAAACAACCCGTTTTGAGGTGGGGCAGCACAAGTCTTGAGTCCCCTGAGCTCTGAAGGAGCCTGGCCTCACCCAAGGGTTCACTTGAGTGAGGGCACTCTCTCATTTGGCCACAGCTGCCTTCCCCTTGTGCCACAGCCCTGTAGCCTGGGGGCCCGAGTGATGGCACAGGCACAGTCCCTTCCGGGAGATGTGACCCTGCGAGGCCTCAGCACCCTTTGCACGCTCCAGTGCTCCAAGCATCCATCTCCAGCAGTTCTCCAGGTCTGTATGAGGGGAGACCCACCAAATAGGGGCCAGGGCAGGAGGGCAGAGCTGGAGCAGCAAGTGTTGGGCTGCCCGCGCCCAGCCAGGGTGGGCAGAGCCTTCTGCTCCCGGGTCCTACTACTGGAGGCTGGAGCTCTGCCCCTGGAGGGGAGCAGGGAGTTGGAGAGACAAAGGCACAATCGTAGGAGGGGGAATTGACTGAAAAACACAAAAGCTCTAAACATGCCAATCATGTCGAGGCTGCGAAGGCTCATTTCAAAACAAAGACGCTAATCTCCACTCTGGGAATTGTCCTGCGACTGGCAGGAGGAACCAGGGAGCTAATGAACAGCTACAAAGGAGTTTAACAAGCCTGCGACTGTCTTGGACTCCAGTCAGCTCAGAGCTCGAACCAGCCACAAGCAGGAGGCAGAGCGTTAACTCTGCAATTACTGCTGCACCCGGAGCCTATTTAGATCCCATGGAAGTAGTCAGAACTGGACGGGAAAACACGCCCTGATCCACAGGGACCGATGCTGAGGCACAAAGGGAGGACCAAGCAGCCCTCAGAGGAACTGCATCAACGCAGCGTGTGGGACACAGCTGGGGCAGGGACGACTGACTGCTGCCGCTTCAGCCTTGTCCCTTAAGCCCTTTGGGGGTGCGTGCGGGGGTCCCTGCTGAATCAGCCTCTCCCATCAGTGCCGCTCCCTCCGCTGGCATGGAAACCTGTCCCGCTGAACCCCGCGAATGCCGCTCGCCCCGCGCTACATTCGAGGCCACCGGCACCTCCACGGCTGGACCTCTGGGAGCACAAACAGCCTGGCGGGACGCTGCGACCCCCGGAGCCGGGTTCCGGGCTCGGGATGCTGCCGCGGCCGAAGGGAACCCCCGGTCCATCGGAGCCGCCTCCCGCGAGGGGGGGGCAGCGAGAGAGGGGCGGCAGCGCCGGGATGGAGCAGCAGCACCTGCGGGAGCGCCGCCGCCCCGGGGCGGGTCCGGCAGCACCGCCCAGGCGGATGCCCACGCTGGCATCCAGCGGCGGGGCGAGCCCCGCTCCCCGGAGAGCCCCGGGGGACCCTTACCTGCCAGGATGGCCTTGCCGGGGTGGGTGAGCTTGGCCTTGCCGGCGGGGGCGGCGGCGGCCAGGCTGCGGGGCGCGGCTGGGGCGGGCATGGCCGCGCTGCTCCGCGGCTCCGGCTGCCCGGGAGCGGCGGCCGAGCCCTATTTCAGAGCCGCGCCCGCGAGGGGCGGCCCCGGCGGCGTCACATCCTCGCGGGGCGGGGCGGGGGCGGCCCGTTGGGGCTCGTGGGGCGGCTCTGCGGGGACGGGGGGCGGGGAGGGAGCGGCAACCGACGGGCAGCGGGGCCCGGGCCGCGCCCGGGTGGCTGCGGGAGCAGAGGTTGCTGAGCCCGCTCCCAGGAACCCGCGGGAAAAGCCTCCGCGTGGGTAGGGAGGGATGCCAGCCCGGGCCGAGGGACGTGGCCAGCACTGCCTCCACCCCTCTGAGCAGCATCGGCACCGCGGGGCACGCTTAGGCCAGGACCAGCTCTGTAAGACCCCAAACCCACCCGGGCAGGGAGGTTGGCACAGCAGCGCGTTCCTGCGCGGGGATGACGGTCCGAAGGGATGGAGGGTTTGCTCCTCTCGGCCCCTTGGCTTGAGTCCTTTCTGGTTCAGTTAGTGAGGAAGAGAGACCAGGAAGCTCCCGGGATAGTGAGGGCCCGTGAACCTCCAGTGCAGGCGGAAGAGAAACCAAAACATTCTCTGATTAAAAGGCTGCTGTTAGTGCATTGACACTCCGGGCTTAGGGGGGTTGTGTTTGTTTAGGGGGATTTATTATCTAATGCTCCTCGATAATTAGGTTGTGCAAATTGCATCACAACTTGTTTTTGCTTTACTTGCAGACGTAGGAAAGACAGCCATGCACTAGTTCACGTCAAAAAGCTGTATATACAGAAATGCAGGGAGAGAAACCAGCTCTTTTCATTTCCATCCTGGATTTCGAAGAAACCAGGGAACACTGGAGCTGGATGCCAGAGCTGTGTTCTCCCTTACACCTGGAGCAGCCACTCTATTCCAAAGAGGGAATATTTTGTGTAAGTAGTCGCCCCCAGCCATGCACAGAACATGCTCCTGCCCAGACTTGCTCTCTGTGTGCTCTGTGACATAATTTTTGCTTAACAAGACTTAGCAGTTGGGCAGCTGCCAGCCCCATCCAAAAGCTCACTCTGCAGCTACACAGCCTTGGCTTCATAGCTAAACCACCAGCAGAAAGACCCTCTGGGAAACTGAAGCACCTTTATTCTGCCAGGGTTAAAAGCAAACAAACTGGGATTGCAGAATGTATCCCCAGGTGAGGCCAGAACTGTACCTGATTTCACAACAGAGTTAAAACAGTCACAGAGGCAAGTCTATTGAGGTGGTCTCAGGCCAAGTCTAAGGGCTCCAACCTCAGCACATGGAAGTAAAGGAGGAGGGAATTAACATGTGAAGGGCACATGGAAGGCAGAAACAGTCATAGTCCCAGTCACACATGCAGAGCAGCTACTCAGTGCTTAGGTTAGCAGTATTAGAATGGCAAAGATAAGATAAATCCTTTCAAAGATGGCAAACAAATGCAAATGTATTTGGATTTCTGATTGACCTCTGCCACTCCTCATACCTTTCCATCAAATTAGCATGGCATTCACATCTGCCTGCAGACACGTACACCCACTGCTGGGAGGCCACGAGTACCTTCACAACAAACACTGGCTCTTACAGACTCCCAGATCATCAAGCCAGCAAGGCCTGAGCACCACCTCATCCTGCTCAAGAAAATACCACACCACATGCTTAATTCACATCAGGCTCAATGGGATTCACAGCAGCGCTTACTTTGCTGCACAGGGAAAGGATTACTCATATTTAAGTACAGGCAGATTGCAAGTCATCTTGACTTGACCTCTAAGAAGCTGCTAACACCACTTGTCAGCAGAAAGCCTAAAGGAGAAGCATTGAAGGACAATAAACAACCCCTGAAATACCAGGGGTGTTTTACATCCCATGACTTAAGTGAAAGTAAATACTTGACCGGGCTTGCACAGTCAAGAGCATCTCCTGAGAAATGGGTGGACAAAGCATAAAAGAGCAACTGCTGTTACAGAGAGGACATCAAATCCGGTATCTTACTGCTCTCAGTTCAGGAATTTTCATGGAAACAACCCTCTGATAAGCTGAACCTATTTCACTTGCTGGTGGCTGATTGTTGTTTCTGCTGGCACACAAAGACACGAGAATTGTGAAATACATAGTCAGGTGCTCCTGCAGCCAATGTGCCTCATGGCGTCTCTCCAGGCCTAATCATCAGAATTAGAACTACTGAAAATGAAAGCAACTTTCACCACTTTTTTTTTTTTTAAACACAAAACCCAGTTGCAAACAGAGCATTCTGCATCCCAGGAAACCCATAAACAGTGACCACGCTTGATCTGTTCCAACTTATTCCTCCCTTGCCCCTCCCTGAAATTACTATTATTACTTTTACTTAATTAGCACCAGGCAGCACACCATGGTTTCAGAGGCCATGAGTGGTCAGTGTGGGGTAGATAACTTCCTGTTTTGTGTCCTCAGACCAGAGAATCTCTTCATTTCACCAGATAAACAGCTGTATTATCACAATTGTTACAACTCAACAACTACTACAAACCTTGCCATGCATTATGAATCCCCATCACTTGGGGGCTTAGGGTAAAATAAGAAAACTCATTTCCTCTCAGGTTCTCTGTCAAGACCAAACAACTCCTTTATGCAAACAGATCCTGCACATAACTGGCTCCAAGGAGAAGTGATCATACTGCAGACTTGAGTCAACGTTTCCCCAGCTTTCAAGCGCGTGCAGCGGGAGCTGCTGTGACTGTAAGAAAGATGATGCTGTTCCTAACAACTACCACGATTCCCACTTGAGCACACATACAAGAAGAGCTCCTGTTGCTATTCAAGATTATTCACTGAGATTACCAGGGCTGAGCCTCTCAAGAGCCTCACAGAAGTCCCTGTTACGTTCACATTTGCGTGGGCCTGACTCATCTCAGAAGAGTGAAACACATGTACAGCATTTACAGGTTATCACTCTGCTACCACACCACGGCTGTGAATCCCTCACAGCAGGATATATTACTCAACAAAGCTACTCCACTTGACAAACCCTGTCAGCAGTTTATCCTAGATGAGGCCATGTCCCTACCTCCTAACTGGGGAAAAAAAAAAAAAAAGTACCTTCTGAAAGGAGAGCAGTTCAGAGATTTATTAACCATCTCCTCCCACCCAAACCCACTCCTAGTTTCCCAGCTGGATAAGCAGTACTTGGGGAATTTGTGCTCTGCATAATATTGGAGACCTCACTGCTGTGGAAAACAACATACCAGAAGACTTTGTGATTCCTTCCTTTCATAACCACTGGGAGGAAAAGGAGAAATAGAGATTTTTAGACAAATTTTAAAGTCTTGATTAAAACCACAGCAGACAAAAAAAGTCTCCTTGAGTCATTGAACCATGCAAGAAAACGCATGACAAACTCAGAACATGACTCAGGATTTTTAACTTCAGACACGTAAAAACAAGATAGGACTTCACTGACTATATTTCAAATTCATCTTAAGCTTAAAAGCTGGCAGTTTTATAGTCTGTTTTAGCTAGGAAGAAAACAGATGGACTTTGCTTCCTTCCTGAAAGATTGCAAAGGCTCCAGACTGAAAGATGTAGACTGAAACACATACCTATGCAAACAATTTTGCAGCGTTTTGTTAGTAAAAACATGAGTCAGGATCTGTCATTACCTTTGGAAAGGTGCCCACAGAAAACACATAGCGCTGAAAAATGAGAAAGCCAGAGTAGTGACAAACCCTCTGGAGGCTGGAAGCCTGCTGGAGCAAGAGATGGAGCAGAATAAAGACTCCAGATCCATTAAGCTGGACTGGTGCACCTGCAGGTTGCTATAGCGAGTGCTCATTCACTGGCAAACCACAACCTAATTGCACACCAGCATCACAAAGCACTCTGGTGTTGTTAAGCATTTTCCAGCCTTATGTCCTTATGTGGAAACAAATGAGATTGAAGCAGTCTTGGGGTACTCTGTAAAGCAAAAAAGGAAATACAGTCAGTGCAGAGCCAAACCATTTACAGCAGAACAAGAAGGACCCAGGAAGACTGAAAGAAGTATTGCACATAAAAATACACTGTCACAAGATAATACACACACTTGTTATGAGAACCTGGTACATGCACTGCTACTCATTCCAAGATTTACAGTTCTGGCCTCAGGTTTTTTTCAGTACAGACTGAATGCACTGTCATGCTGGTTCAGCCACACCAGGAGTTTCTCAGAGGCCAAGTTCTAGCCTGCAATTAAGATGTCACACATCCAAGCATAAACATTAACTTACACAGCAGTTGACTGTCAGCTTTGCCCAAGTTCTAAAGTTACTCACACTCATCTGAGAAGGCATCAGACAATGAAGGGCTTGTTTGTCAGTTTTAGAGTTCAAAAAAACAGAGGGAATCTCTTATCCTTATGAGTAACTGTTGCTGGATTTGCTAGGGGAAAAAAAAAAAAAGTCATTCCTTGTTTCATGCAGCCTTATGAAGGACCTGTGTCTTGCTGTAAAGTGGCAGTGCTTAGCACTGCAGCTGCTAAAAAAAAAAAAAAGAATCTATTGAATCAGAATTAAGGTTTGGACCTTACAGTTACTACTGTCTTTGCTGTATCATGTCCATAATTTGCACAAACTTGAACAGACTTCATCTACCTAGAATTTTTATTTTTTTAAGGAGCAACATGACTTCAGAGCACTTCCTTCTGCTACACTGCAGTTTAATTATAGAGCCCTAAAAGGGGAGGGGGAAAATAGAAGTCTTGTAAAATATCACACAATTATGTAGCCAGTAAGAAATGAGACTTACCCCAGAGATGCATTCCTCCCAAATTTCTGGTTTGAATTCCTTGTCTTCTCTGGTGCCAGATGTGTAGCTGCCCAAAGTTTGCCAGATTGGGGAAGATTCCCCTAAGGTCTGACAAATAGCAAGAGCCATTACACATGAGATCCATACTGGGTTTCCCAGAGGGAAAGCATGAGGCAGTAAAAGCCTGCATGTACTTTTAAGCAAGTTACTCTCTGACACAAACTTGGAAAAGTTGGTCTCCAGCTGCTGCACCCTGCAGCACATTCTGCATGAAGGGATCATTCCACAGTA